TTAAATGGTTACGGTTCATTTTTTAAGTTTTAATGTGAGAATTGTAAATAAAGAGTTTATTCGAAATATCTATTTCTATCTACAAATTGTCTCGAAATCTACCCTAATCAAAGTAAGCTGTGGGATTCAGACTTGAAATATGTCTCGCCAAATCATTCTTTGATTTTTGAGTTAAAATATTTATGTCCAATAAGAGTCCTTTGAATTCCAAAATTGCAAATAAACAGATTATTCGACAAAAATGTTTTCATTCTACAAATTTTTCTTTTAAGATCTACAGATTGTCTTAAAAATCGTCACATTATGTTTAAGTTGATGTTGGCGGATCTTCCATTTCGTCTGCAGAGGCGAGAGTAAGTGATCGCCGGGAAATCGTGCGTGTTGGTTATGACTCTTGGAAACCAAGTTTTTCTCAATCTCACTGTCTCAATCAATTGTGCTTATTCGTTTGGGAGACTTTCATTTCACATGAAAGCGGACGAAGAAGTGCTTCGAAGGCCGATTTCAGCGGAAGACGAAGACTTGTTCCTTTCTTAAGAGTTTCCTCGAAAGCCAGTTACTCTTCCTATCTACAATTGTGATCATGCTCGAGACCATTTCTGGTTGGCATCAAATCGCTTTCCATAATTTTACGAGCCTTTCATCATGAATTAATTTCCTCTTTTGTTTAAGGGCCCTGGAGTCTGTTCGAAGGTCTATTCTATGAGTCAGTAGAGGGTGGTCTCGTCACTTGGTCCAGTCCACACTCCAAGTCTGTCCAACTCCACGTCCCTCGAAAGTGAGCCCGACTACATGAAGCTCTAGAACCGATTGTAGCCCTCGTCATGCTGAGCTGCCATTTAACACGTTGCCGAGGTGTGAGTGATTGCCACGGCAACTGACTGGCAGTCTCTCAGACGCAGCCTCTTCAGTCGGGCCGAGAGGACAAGAGGAAATGACTGTTGTCAGTGCAACTCACTCTGCCTCGTGGCCATGGACTCGCAGGCTTGACGATTGTCGTCAACGCGTCAGTGGACCGGTGACCACAAAGTCGGTCATGTCCACCCTGCCGGCCAGTCTGTCGACGTGTCAGGCAGCGCATAACTACAGATTTGTCAGCTACACTCACGGAATGGGACATTTTTTGCCGGTCTCCATCACTCCGGTCAGAGCGACAGAATCGGCCGGACAGATAACCAGGCAACCGCGCGAATATAACCAATCAATCCGGACACGAAGGCAGTCGGCCACAAACCACTAAGGCCACAAATCCTCAGCTTCAGCTTCAACTTCAGCCTCGCATCACATCGCATCGCCTCGCCCCTCGTCCCGGCTTTCGGTCTTGCCTTCTTGCCTGCTTCTGCCTCCTCTATCCTCATTTTCCCGTCCATTCCGACGGCTCTCCTGCCTACGCCAAACCTGCGGTTTTGCGGTTTCGTCAAGTCGTGCGAGCCAATTGGGTTTAATCTGGCCGATACCCGCCACTCTCTACCTCCCTGCCATCTCACGGCCTCGTTTCCCTCAGTCCCA